CGGCGCGTCACGTGGGCGGCGCGCGCGGTCACGTGAGGCGCCGCCGCCGCCGCCGCCATGTCGGGCTTCCCGGAGCTCTACTTCAACGTGGACAACGGCTACCTGGAGGGGCTCGTGCGCGGCTTCAAGGCGGGCGTGCTGCGCCAGGGCGACTACGTGAACCTCGTGCAGTGCGAGAGCCTCGAGGGTGAGCGCGCGGCGGGAGGCCCGGCCCGGCCGCCGGGGGGGACGGGGCGCGTCTCCCTGTGTTGAGGCCTCCGGGGCCGGGYTGGGGCCAGCCCCGGGGCGAGGAGCCGCGTTTCAGGCGGCCTAGGGGTGTTGGTAGGGGTGGAACGCGCCCCAGGCCTTGGGAAGGGGAAGGAAGGCCCTGCACCCCTAGGCCCTGCTCTCTGGGGTGATTTGGGCCTCTCGTTGTCTCCTGCCTGGATTAATGCGCACCAAGCTGTGGTGATTGTGTTCTGTGAGGCTCGTCGGCTAAAATCGTAACGTCATAACCCGCTTTTCTTCAACCAGTGAAGTTCAGGGGGGGCTTCGYCTCTCTTGGCTGCTCCCCTGACTCTTCCTCTGTGGAGCGTCCTCCCAGAACTGATCAAAATTGGGTCTCTGTTGAAATGGGCTGGAAACTCACATCTAGAGATGCCAATGGGACCAGAATTACCGGGATCGTTGTGTATCAGGTGCCTAAAAATTCCAGGTAAACCTCAGCTTTTTGTCCTGGGGATTGCTACCAAGTGAGTCAAACCCATGTGGGATATGTGGAGGGATCCTGGATGCAGGTTCCCTGGAGATGCAGGGTCCCTTGTTCAATAACAGCTGCCGAAGCCGAATGCTCGTTTGAGCTGTTCCTGCAGTTAGTTAGCTGTGTAAAAGGGTTTTGCAGGAAAAATATCTTTGGGGCTTTTGCTTTTGGTTGAAAACTGAGTCGCAGCTGGGCTGAATTCAGGTGATTGCAGAACCTGTTTAATGTACTTTGCTCTCTTCCTCTTATGTTGCTCTTGGTCAGTCTTCCTTTCTCTCTGTATTTGGATTTAAGTTCAATTTCTTTATTATAATATTATTATTATTATTTTCTAGTTTTGCAGACAGAGCTCTTAGAGATAATTGTTTATTATTTCCACAGGAAATGTAGGCATTTCTAATAGGAATGAAATCATATATTGAAGACCACTGTGGGAAGCGGGGATTCCTGCTGCCGCTCGGGCTTTTCCTTCCAAGTCCGTTTTGGGGAACAGCCTCTTGGGACTTGTCCCAATCAGTACTTTAAAATATCCCTCCAGTACATTTTTTTTTTTTTTTAGGACAGAACCTTATTTTCAGCAGACTTTTCCACTGCTCTTTACTTTGCTCTTAGCACAGAATGCGGGATCTGRAGGAGGGCAGAGGGAGCATCTGTGCCCTCAACACTCCTGGAACTCTCTCTTTTGTATCATCATTTCCTTAGATTACTTCTTCTTTGGAGTCTTTCAGTATTTACAGTTTCCCCTTTTTTGCCCTTCTTCATCTTCTGAACCAAGTTGCACAATTTTAGCCCTCTCTGGGGTGGTGATTTGCTGTGCTGGAAGAAGCTGATTTGAACTTCCCATAAGATTGCCTTGCTGCTGACTGTTACCTGGCTGCCGGCTCCGAGTGAGGCTCCTTCCCGAGCCGCAGGCTGTTCCAGGTTCGTCCTTGCTGTGAATCCTTGTCAGCTTTGCCTGCTCCCTCCCTGGGCAGGGTGCTCCCGCAGAGGCTTTTCCTTCAAAGGAATGCCAATCCCGAGCCTTCTTGAAGATCTGTGGTCAATCCATATTCTTCCTCTGTTTGTGCAGCTCCAGTTTTTCTATCTCGGTGCCTATTTTCTGTATCCAGTCAACTTTAAGCTCATTCTTTCCCTGCCAGGCACTTATCTGCACTAAATCTAGAGAGTGTCCAGCCAGCTGACAGCCAAAGGGAGGAGCTGAGCACACAGYACTTGAGCTGGCAGCACGGTGCTGCCAGAGCGGGTAGGTTATGGCCTTTCATGTGGTGTTTGTCTGATCCCAGGCGAGCCCATTCCCGCTCCTGCCTCTTATTTAATCAGTTTACTGCTGTCCCGGGGAGCCACCCAGCTCAGTGGGAGGAGGCAGGTTCTTAAACTGCTTTAAAGAAGGGCTGGAGTGCGTGACTGGGAGTGAAGGAGGGACACAGGAAAATGATTTGGCTTCATCTTTCTCTTGAAGCCCTGTGCGAGGCTGTTCGGTGCCTTCTTGCAGCTCCCAAAGCCGTGAGGCTTTAATTGCATCGGAGCCAGTTCCTGAGTGCTCTGCTGCCAGACGGTGCTTGGGGGTTGCTGAGCCCTCTCTGTTGTGGTTAATTCCCTATTCCGACGCAAGGTGTCAGGGAAGGGTTTCTAGCTCCCTTCCTCGGCCTTAGCTGGGTGAACCAGGTCTGGGTTTGTTTGTTGGTTTGGTTGTTCCTGCGTTGAATCTGTCCCAAATAATCGAATTTGAGTCGCTCAAATTTTTCRCAGTCAGAATGAGACAGAGCCCTGTCCAGTTCTTAAAAGCTATGTGACTTCCTGTAGATTCAACATCAACTCCTATAGATTCAACAACTTAAGAATAAAAATTTGAGACAATTGGATGCTGGTGTAACTTTAAGAGGGGAGATTCAATCGTGACACTATATAAGCTATAGGCAAGCTTTATTGTTGCTTTTGCCCTATGGGCACATACTGACTACGTTCAACTTGCTGTGCATGAGATCCCAATGTCTTTCTCTGCAGAGCTGTCCAGCTAATCAAACCTGGCCTGTGCTGGTACGTGATGTTATTCCTCCTCAGGTGAAAGTCTCTGTGCTTCCATTTGTTGAACTTCAGGAGGTTCTTTACCCATTTCTCCAGGCTGTCGAGGTCCCTCTGAGCAGCAGCACGATCATCAGGTGTATCATTCTTGCTAGTTTTTTACCGTCTGCYAACCTACTACAAATTCTGTCCTGTCATCTGGGTCATTAATGAAGCTTTAATGAACAGTAATGATACTGTGATGTCTCCCCTCAGGGGTCAATCCTTAGTGACAAGGCCTCCATGTGGTTGGTGCCGGTGGCCACAACCCTCATGGTTATGCAGCCTGCTTCAGCTTGGCTTGGCTGTGAGGATGTTATGGGAGACAGTGTCAAGAAGTTGATTAAGATCAAGTTGAACATCATCCTGTTTATCAGTAACATGAGGGCTGTTCTGCCCTCATCCATCAAGRCAGTTTTCTCATCATGGAAGGCTATCAAGTCAATTAAATATGATTTATTTTCTCTGTCTTTATACTGAGTATTCCCAGTTACCTTCCTGTCCTTCAGATATCTGGAAAAAAGTATTCCCTATCACCTTCCAGGGACTGAGGTAAGGCTGACTAACCTTACCTCAGGATCCTGTTTCTTGTGCTCCTTGAAGACAGGAGTGGCATCTCTTCCAGTCCTCAGGAACCTCTCTTGATCCCCGTGACCTTTCAAAGATGGTGGAGAGTGGCTCAGATACCAGCTTCCCTAAGGCCTCATGGGTGGACCCTGTCAGGCCCATGGACTTGTAGATTTCCAGGTTATAAAGGAAAACTTGTACCTGATCTTCCTCCATCAAGGGTAAGTCGTCTTTGCTCCAGACTTCCCCTCTGGTCTCTACCAGTAAAGACTGAGGTGAAGAAGGCCTCAGTTTCTCGTGTCCTTTGTCACCAGTCACATTTAGCAGTGGGTCTCCACTTTTCCCTTTTGTTTTTTATGTCCTTGTAGAAGCCTTTCCTGTTGCTGCCCTGAAAGGCAGCAGCGCTTTTCGTCCATTCAGCTAAAAGTGGATTGTTAAAGACTTGCTTAGATGGCTTTTTAGGGTAAAGATGTTAATTTCTGCCCCCACCTTCTCTTCCTTCTTCCTCCTTATGGAAGAGAGATGAAATACGTTGAAACAGAGGCTGCCTGATACACAAAGCAAAGATCAGATTTTTTCAAGCAGACTGTTGACTTCTTATGTTAGAAGTGGAGAACAACAAGGGCAGCAAGACTTGGCCATTGCARATGAGAAGCCTTGGGAGAGGTGAGCTGAACCCCAGAAAGGCTTAGGTTCAAAATATGGGCAGCCACTTGGGCTTGAGGAGATGTTGGTTCTGAAACAGAGAAGGTGAAGAGCTATAGGAGACAATAAGGATTGGGGGAATGACTACAGAAACATCCCAGTATGCTGCAGTGGAGTTTGCTGCCTCTCTCTGCAGGATCCTTGATACGTGTGGAGGTTTATGTAAGTACAGAAGTGCCTGCTGAACAGACAAAATAGGAACAAACCAAACGGAGGAAGCTGGAGTGTTGTGAGAGGATATCCAGGCAGCGTAGCTGGTAACATCCTCCCCTGCTCTCTTACTTTGCTACCTTGGGCCTGGGGGGTGGCTGACACAATAACCAAGTTTAATTTTATATACGCAGTGATAGCTCCTGAGCACTGGGGACGAGATGTTGGCGTTGCAGCACAGAGCCACATGCAGACGTCAGTTCATCCCAAACGTGGGAACGCTCGTGCCGTTCCTGTGCACGCAAAGACAAAGCAGTGCTTGCTTGGAAGGTGCTCAGAGCTTTAAGTTGATCTAGAACTCTGGCATATAGTCAAGGAAAGATGCTGAAGAAGGAAAGTGCARAAGTGTGAGCTCATGAGCCCATGGATGACTCCTTAAGTGTCTTAAGAGATGATGAAGAGCCTCTTAAGATGTCTCTTAAGAGTAATGCTTATGGGACAGGCTTTTGTGACCAAAAGTTGACTGTGAGACTGAGCAACGGTTTGATTTATTTAATGACAAAGCAAACTTGTAGAAATGGCAGAAATATTGCTGTGGCCTTGGGAAGTTTTTCAGGGAAAGGAATGTGTTCTGCTCAGTGACATGTCCAGTTGTGGTGCGTACAGAGCAGTTTGAATTCAGCTTCAGTTGCCTTTACACCAGTTGTAGAACCAGATTCATTAAGACTGGAATGCTTGGAAGAGATTTAAAAAAAAAGGTTGCTGTAAGTGCATGTCATGGTAGTCTTGAGCTGTCTGACCTACTATTTGACTCTTCGGAGGAGGGGGAAAAAAAAAAAGCTCTGAGAAGATGTGCTCTTGTAAGAGGAAATTTTCTGGGGGTTGTGACCTGGTCATARCTCTCCATATTTTCTGGGGAGGAAAGGGAATAAGAGGAAAGTATTGCTGGGATCCAAGAAGATCCCCTTTGCCAAATGCTGCTCAGTCTCTTCTCCAAGTGTGAGATCCATTTGAAAAAAGCTCCAGGGGACAAACGTGCATCTCGAAGCAATTGTTGGCTGTGGCAGAAGCATCGGGGCCAGGACCTCTTTGTCGGTCAGTGCCTGGAGAGGTCCCTCAGAGTGGCTCACATCTACCCCTTGCTTCCAACAGGCAGTGCAGCCAGAGAAGAGGTGCTGAAGGAGACCTGGGAGCCAGAGTCTTGTCCACCTGCAGCGGGCGAGATGTCTGGCAGAGGGTTGGCTCCCCCTTGACTTGAACTTGTGCTAGGGACAGAGATCTTGAACTTCTGGAGAGCTCAAGGTTTGCTCGGCAGTGGGTCTGCTTATTACTCACGTCGCTACTGGGGCAGCCACAGGATTAGTCAGTCCTCAAGTTGGACGTGGACTTCTCAAGCTGGAGAAGTTGGACGTGTGAATAATCCTACTAACAACTCCTGAAGCYTTCTGGATGGAAAGAGGCTCCCTGGGTTTGGTGGCTAGCCCAGTGGCTGGGGGAGGACAGACTTGCATGAAGCACTGATACACCGTGGGGTGCATTGAGTCTGGGTTTATAAATCTTGTCTGATTTCTTGGAAAGTATGTTTGGTTTTTTTTTTTTTGGATGCGAAGAGATGCAGAGCAATCTAATTTCTAAAGATTGTGGCTGGCTTTCGCTATAAAGTTTAACTCTGAGTATTATGTAAGCAAGGTCCTTAAACCAGCTACAATGTGATGTTGTGCTGGCTCTTGTGCTGCAGAGAGGGGGGCTGACTCCCTTCCCGAGCAGGGCAGAAGACTGTGGTCAAGCAGTTCATGGGAATTTGCTTGGAGCTGTGGACGGAGCGGCCACAAGGCACAGCTTGCTGCTCATATAGCTCTCATCTGACTAAATGTGCTGCTGCTTTTGCCTCTTAAGATGGATGGTGCAGCAAATCCTACTTATCTGAGTAGCTGGGGTGCTGACACGTGGTCTCAAGCTTGAAGTGATTTGGTAGCAAGGCAGCTTTTGCAGTCTCAGAAATAAGAGCTGAACTGTAGGCATTGATAAAACACCGAAAGCAAATGGAAGTTTAATCAGTAAAATGCTCTGAGATAAGGGGGGCAAGACAGGAGGGGCTTACAGGGAAGGTCACTAAGCTTTCAAACTGATCCTCAGTAAGGAAGAAAACTGGATCGTATTGGAATGTCAGATCTGCTGGATCAGGTATCACATCCACTGGATTCCTCACTTATTCCCTGTCTCATGGCACGTTGCCTTTTGCCAGGGTGAAGCTCTCAAAGGCACAGATGTCAAGGGAGGTTTTTGGGCTTGCCCAAAGGTGCTTGGCTTAACCCAGCYCTGCTTTGGGCTTCACACTGAGCAAGGGTTGCTCCTGCTGGAGCTGCCCCAGGTTTGGTTTGTGCACCCAGAGCCTATAGGTAGTGACACGTGGTTCTTCAAGCAAGTGCTGCACTCATCTTTGCCAGCCSCAAAGCGCTCCTTGGGCTTGGTCTCTTCCCTTGCTCTTCTACCATGTGCCGTGGGCAGCCCAGTTTTGGTCCCTCAGAGGGTGCTGCCTTGCTCTTGTAATCCCTAGCGTCCGGATCCTGAGGACAGAACACCTTGAGAGGGCTGGTGCTTTCCCTTCTCGTTCTTGTGTCCTGCTCAGCCCAAGAGAACATGGGGGACTTGATGTTGCTGTGAGRTCTCAGCTGCAGGGCTGGAAGCAGTGGCTAGATCCTGCGCTGCTGATGACTGAAGTTCACCGCAGGACTTTGGCCGCAGTTGCCCACGTGCAGTCTGCCCCGTGCCCTGTTCTCAGAG